GTTTTAAAAAAAATGTTTTTGAGAAATTAACTGGCTTAATTTCTCTCTGTACACATAGTTAGAACTGTCCCATGACTCAAGGAGAAAGTTATCCAAAACCAACCTCAAAAAGTTTATTGAAGGAATCGTATTGCTGTCCTGAACCTTCTGTCACCAACCCACCGAGTTCAAGACATAAACATCAAGAGGCACCAGTCATTCCATATGTTTGACATGTTTAGAGATTGTCATACTTTTGGTTTTCTAAGCTAACAAAATCACAAATGTCAGCCAGAAAAATCTGATCCTACCTTACAAACTGCTGTTATGTGCTCGCAGGGAGGCTGTGTGTGTGAGCATAAAGCTCTCAGTACACTGCTGACTGCTGGAAGATGGCGACCTGCGTGGGGACCGCTGAAAGCGACTCCTCCTGTTAAAGTAGCTGCCGGCTGTCCAGGACCGCTTGTGCTTCCTCAGGTACTCCTTGTAGTTCTTGGTGAGCAGCGTGTACAGAAAAGGGTTAATGCAACTGTTGGAATATGTCAGACACGTGGTAAGGTAGTTGATGTTGCGTTTGGCTTTGGTGGACAGGGACAGTGAGGGGTGGAACTGACCCAGCAGCTGCCAGATCCAGAAGGGCAGGAAGCATGCCCAGAAGAGGAGCACAATGGTAAAGATCAGGTACAGCACCTTTAGGGACATAACACCACAGAGAACAGCCATTAATGAGAATCAGTGATACACCGATTGCAACAAAATGCATCATCTGGAAACTGAGATAAATAATTAACTATATGCATGTATTTCACCAAATGATAAATACAGTGCAGAAAAACTCTGACAGCTGCAGAGAGATACAAGAAAGGTGAGAGAGAGAGACACAGTTTGTAGTTTGCATGATGCTGTGGCAAAATTGTTGTTACACATTCATGCCAATAAAGCTAAGTTGAATTAAACCTGGGCAGCTGTGGAGACCTTAATGGTATGCGCACTACCAGGTAAGCTACCTCTTGTCTTTCTTTTTGAGAGCTTCACTGTAATGCTGAACTCACAAGATCAAATTTAAACATATTTAGGCTGATTAGTGGTCTGAAGGTAAGATAAGGTTAGCGAAGCGAGTTTGTCAATTCAATCCCTGGACCGGCAGGATAAATGTGGATGGGTAAAGTGAAAAAGCAGCGTTGCCCCTCCCTCATAACCACCACTAAGGTGCCCTTGAGCAAGGCCCGGTGGAGCTGCCCTGTTTGAACTGGGCACTTCTAAGTGTGAATGTGTGTAACTGTGAATGTGATCAGGGCGTTCCTGCAAAACAGAGACTTTCTTTCAGTGAAAACTTTCCTGAATAAATAAAGGTTAAAAAAAAGCTCTGGTTTTGTCTTTCTTTTTGAAAACTTTACTGTAAAATAAAATGCTGAAATTACAAGAATCAAATTAGGACATTATTTGGCTAAAGTATAGCAAATGCCACACCCTACTATAATAATATATCATAACCATAGTTCTGTAAAAAAGCATGGAGCCTTCGAGTTCTGGAGTGGAGCTCAATTGGTCTTGATCACTCATCTTGCACTGTCAAGTTTCCTGTGGTTTTTCAGATAATGTACAAATCTATGAAAGCCCCAGTTAGGGGTGGACCCTTGGTCATTTTTCTTCAGTGATCAGTACTATAAAAGCCAAAGCTGGCTTTTCAAACCCTGCCTCTCTTGTCCCAGCATGATCACAGTTACACACAGCCTTGGTAGGCACAGAGAGAATGAATTATTCCTGTATAGAAGCACTTTTGAAAGTTGGACAGTCTGCTCTCTTACTTGCCCCACGGTACAAGCAAATCGAATAGCCTTTGATGCAACTGAAGGGCAGCATTCGCCACATTGTTAATCACACTGATAAGATGAAATTAACCCTTCTTAAGCCCTGCTATGAAACAAATAGGATCGGGTTTTGAGTGAGCAGAAAGTTAGAGGGGAATGGAAAATAGAACACCTGCAGCAACAGGGAAAGGATTGATAACAGGATCCTTGCTTTAAGTAGAGTGTGAACTGGTGTTTTTAGAGTAAACTCTTAAATAGCAGCTATTTATCTTTAATGATGACAGTGTTGTTGGTGGTAAGTTGTGAGAGTCATACAATAGCTGTGACAGAATGTCAAAAGCCTATGAACTACTAGATAGGACCCTTCCTTCAGGAGCTAGTACAAATCATGGTACACTCCATGATGAGTATGACTGAGTCAACAGCCTTAGTAAGTGGAATGTCTGTGGCAGTAGTTTGTACAGAAGTATCTTGCCTAACGTCCTGCCTGTTCATCAGTTTCTACCAGATGGATGTGTCTGGATCCATCTCCAGCTGAGCTGCGGACTGGGTAAGATGTGAGAGGGCAGGGTCTAGGGTGATCCTGTTGCCAAAAAAAAGGAGAACCAAGAACTGGTGCTCAGAATGGTTTAGAAAGACTGTCTTCCCTCCACAAAGTCCCCAGAGGGAGGAAGTTAGGGCAGTTGGGTGGGTCACGGGAGACCACTGCTCATTTCCTGCATCCGGCCAACATTCAACATTGTTTTTTCATCCTTGACCACGATCATTTTACCCAAACATGATCCCTTTACCATAACCAAATTGTTTCAGTACCTAAACCTAACCAAATCTTAACCATAGTGGTGCTGGAACAGAATGTTTATTTTTGCAGCAGGTTTTGAAAGGCACTGACACATGATGTTATTCTGCAGATAAGGGGGTCAGATCAGAAAACACTTGCACAAACAGCGTATTTTGGCGTGTAACTTAGAGGACTTGCTACTTGGTGTAGGGTCTGGCTGAGCACATACATACAAATATTCACTGCCTAAATCTTTAAAAATGAGCAGTAAAGCCTTTACCTTAGGAGACTTTATATTGTAATTCACTCACCTTTTGATTGGGAAGTTTCTTCGTCTGTTTGAAGGTCTCCGTCTGTGAAACCCAATAAGTGCGTGCAAGCTGGATGTAGAGATAGCCAATGATCAGTCCTGGTGCAACAATGCTTGTGCAAAACAGGAATGAGATGTAAACTTTGTAGGAGAGTGGTGACAAGGTGGGCTGACACATAGCCTTATTGCCCACTGTCATTAGCTGAATGCTAACGATCATCGGTAGGGTGAGGATGAGAGATGCAACCCAGACCAGCAGAGCGATGGCCTTCCGGTAACTTTTAGACCGCTTGACTGTGTCGAGTGGCTTGAGCACAGCAAAGTAGCGCTCCGTGCTCATGATTGTCAGCGTGAAGATGCTGGCATGCATGGTCAGGAAGTCCATGCTGATCAGAATCCGACACCCAGCGTCCCCAAAGTACCATCCCTTTAGGAAGTGTGTGCAGACTACAAAGGGTATGGTGAGAAGATACAGCAGATCTGCCAAAGCTAAGTTTATGATGTAGATGTACATAGAGGCTGCAGTCCTCATGGAGTGGCACATGACCACCAGAGTGTAGATGTTCCCCGAGACTCCGACGAGACACATGATGGAGAGGATGGTACCAATGGTAAAGGTGGCGGCTGTGTCTTCATGCGTATTCAGAGGGGGCTCGGTGGCATTGACGCCTCTTTCAACGAGGACTCCTATAGGCTCCATGGACACTGTGGTCATATCTGGATTTGTGGGAAAAGAAATGTAAGTGCTTAGGGTGGTAACTGGACAGGAAAAAATACTTTTGTTAATTAACCCTTGTCTTCAGACTTAGACTGGTTCTTGGACTATTATTTCTGTGAAATGGAGCTAAATGTGGACTATTATACTCAGAGAAATTATACTGGCTTTTTTAATTCATTTATAATCTCCATTTGTGACAGAAGACAAAGTCTATAAGAAGGACTTAATGAGCTTGCTTTCAATGCAAAGCTTCTTTTCAGACTCAGTCTCTACTCATCATTTCAAAAATCTGCATCTTTCAAGTACCCCTGACTGATTGCTTATGACCAACTCACTCATACTGAGGAAAGTTAAATCCCACATTTTAATCATGGCTTAGAAATCAGCTCTGAAAATAGCTTCTAGCTAAGTTTTATTTAGATTAATATAAAACACCATGAAGTATGTTCTGTTACCCATGCTTTTCTAAATTACTCATAAAATCTTTGTTTCTGACCTAAGATGGCAAATGGCACAATTGTCCAGTGATATTCACTATTCAGATCTTTTATATAAGCAAAGTTGCAATACGATGTTGTAAAAATACTCTAAGGCACATTTCAGACTCAGTGTTGTAGCTGGTAAAGGTTTCTTTTAATTATTTGATATACTGCTGGTTAGCTAAACCTATGGTAATATAATATAATGTTTAATTTTATTCATATTTCATTCATTATTCATTGTTCACATTAAAAATCTAATTCTGCAAAGTAACTAGTAACTAAAGCTTTTAAATAAATGTACCAGAGTTTTAAGTACACTATTTGAAATACTCAAGTAAAGTACCGTACTAAATTTGCTTAGTTATATTCCACTACAGCAACTGTCTGGACTGAATGTGCCACAGTCTGATTGCATAATGCTGATAAAATTAGTATTACGTTTACATATTAATATTACAGTGAAAGAATTTGTGATGGAAATGAGAGCTATAGTTATTGGGTCATATTACTATGCAGCAGAGTATTATTTATGTCTGCTGAATTTCTGAGGGCTGATGACGAAATGCATCCTCACTCTCTCATGAGGGCGTATCTAAAAAAAAAAATGTATCAGAGTTGATGTAACTGTTGAAGGAACACAGAGAACTTTTTACTTAGTCACAGACACCTCTCCTTGTCCAGTCTCATGCTAAGCTGTCAAGATTCAGACGGAAATAAGTGAGAAAGTATTTCTCCTTTGTGACATATTTTGTTCCAAAACCACCGGGGGCAGAGATGAAGTCAGACACGGTTAATATTGCATTTCAGTCCTCACTAATCGACCTGTCTGGAATGCTCTGATAAGCACAACAGCCAGTGCATGTATGCTAAATGTATGCAAGTGAATTAGAAAACACACAGTCTTACCTGGACTGCCTCCCTGGACAGAAGAGTTTAACACTCAGCTGCAGTTCCATCAGCCATGCTTTGTCTCACTTTGCAGCTCCAAACTTCACACTTACTGCAAAAATTTCACACTCCATAAAAGTCCCAACAGAATCTACAGAGTGTCTGAGAGGTGAAAAACGTAGGTGGAACAAAAGGGGAAATATATATATATATAATATATATATATATATATATATATATATATATGTAAATATCCAGCAGTCTCGATGGGGATAATAACCTAAATGAGTCATCTACTACAACGAAAATACCCCAATTGTTGACTAGTCTCTCAACAGCAAATAAAACAATCCAAAGTGTCTAGATTCAAGGGAAAGGTGCACTGATAGCAGCCTTAAAAGTTCTCCTCCATTCCCTTTACCTTTTGTGCACCTTGGTAGCATCCACACACTGGAAGTCAGCTGTGACACCGGCAGCAGAGCAATTTAATTCAGAAGGAAAAAAAAATACAAAAAACGAATACATCGATGAAATGATGATGAGAAGTGAGGATCACATTAAGCTACAGCTGGTTACCGAGAATCCCCCCTTACACTGAGAGAGAGTAAGAGAGAGAGCAGGAGAGTGCCAGAGGTAGAGAGGGGAGAGAGGGAGTGAGAGAGACATGAGCATGCTGCTGGTGAGCCACTCTCGCTTAGAAGCGCAAAGTGGGAGGGAGAAGCCAGAGAGAACGGGCAAGAGAGGTATGTAGGAAATGTGTTCTGCTCTCCCTCTGTCTCTCTCTCTCTCTCTCTCTGTACTTTAACCCCTGTGCCATCTATTTCAATGCAGTGGGGGCGTGTGCTTCAAACTGATATGCAACACTGGGACTGGAGACACATTACACACTGACAGAACAACCCCGCTGACACACAAAAAGACAGCCAGCACTGCCTATTTGTCCCAGCATGAAATATCCAGTATCTATCATATTAAATGGATAGTGCGAGTGTCAGTGTCACCTACTACTGCGGCAATTCACCCGAGCACAGTCATCAAACATCATCTGCTGCAGGGGGACCGGTCCAAACTAAACAATGTCTTTGGCCTTCTGTAGCTGCTTGTAGGCTACAGGGGGACTATGCATTTATTAAACTGACTGCTGAGTAGAAGCGTTTCTTGTTTGTGCTCATCTCCCTTGCCATTGTATGAGAAATTTGAAAATGTAAAAACAACAAATGTATCTGTGTAAAATAGCAGTCATTCATTTTTCTGGAGCCATTAAATGTATTTACACAAATTTACCTTACCTTTCTATATGGTTTTCCAAAGCGACTTACAATCGTTTTATACACTTATCTGCCACTTTATTAGGTACACCTGTTCAATTACTTGTTAACACAAATAGCTAATAAACCATTCACATGGCAGCAACTCAGTGCATTTAATAATTACTCATTAAGCTGACATTAAGCTTACAATTGCTATATATATGTCAAGGATCGCATGTTAAGTGTCTTGCTCATGGACACAATGGTGGATGTCGCTATGGGAATCGAACACAGGTCTCTCACATCAAAGGAATGTCTCTTATCCACTGCCTCATCACCACTCACATTTAGGCATGAAGACATGGTCAATACAACTTGCAGAAGTTCAAACTGAGCAGAATAGTGAAGAAAGCGGATTTGAACGTGGCATGGTTGTTGGTGCCAGACGTGCCGGTCTGGGTATTTCAGAAACTGCCGATCTTCTGGGATTTTCACGCACAACCATCTCTAGGGTTTACAGAGAATGATCTTTAAAAGAGAAAATATCCAGTGAGTGGCAGTTGTGTGGACAAAAAGGCCTTGTTGATGTCAGAGGTCAGAGGAGAATAGGCAGACTGGTAACAGGCAAGGCAACAATAACTCAAATAACCTCTGGTTACAACCCAGGTATGCAGAATACCATCTCTGAACGTACAACACATCAAACCTTGAAGCAGACGGACTACAGCAGCAGAAGACCACACCGGGTGCCACTCCTGTCACCTAAGAACAGGAAACTGAGGCTACAAGTCACATAGGCTAACCAAAGTTGGACAATAGAATATTGGAAAAACGTTGCCTAGTCTGATGAGTCTTAATTTTAGCTGTGACATTCGGATAGTAGGTTCAGAATTTGGGATAAACAACATGAAAACACGGATCCATCCTGCCTTGTATCAACAGTTCAGGCTGGTGGTGGTGGTGTAATGGTGCGGGGGAAGCTCAAATCAGTCAAACTGGTTTCTTGAACATGACAATGAGTTCACTGTACTCCAACCCAGTACTAGCAAGGTGTACCTAATAAAGTGGCCAGTGAGTGTATGTCAGAGGTTGCATGCCTCTGGAGCAACTAAGGGTTAAGTGTCTTGGTCAAGGACACATTGGTGGATGAGTCAAAGTGGGAATTGAAACCAGGTCTCATCCACTGCACCATTGCCACCGTTATCAGATTTTGATCCATTGAATCCAATAACATCTGGACAAATTAGAGCAGTATGATTAAATTATTTTATCCCAATTCGTGTATGGGATATAACAAGAAGTCAGCCAGCTCGGCCAGTTGAAGTCTCAGACATGCATGTCCTCAACTTAAACGACAAAATAGGTAGTTTGTCAATGCCTCCCAAAACAGTCAACAGTCGACCAGACCTTAACTACGTGACGTAAGTCACATGACATTAAACACGTGGTTAACATTGTGAAACTGTCACAGTTAGGTTTACGCAAGATAACTTCTTGGTTAGGTTTAGAAAAACATTGTGGTTTCGGTTAAAGTAAGTATGTTGTGAAAGTCACGTGATGTAAATGACATGAGTTAAGGTACGTAAGTGACGTGATGTAAATCATGTGACAGAAGTCAGTAATGCTATTGAACGTAAATCTTAAAATAACTCAACATTTATTTGGTTTCACATTGTTCTTGAATGGTGTTCTCCTGTGTGAAAGTCCTGAGTTTGACCCGTCCATCAATACCATCCTACCTCCATATGCCGACTTTCTCGCTCGTTGGACAGCCACTACAGGTTGCAGCCACAATAAATGTTAATATGGATCATAATAAGGTGAGTAATGCGTGTGGTGGGGGTGGTGACGGGGCAATGGATAAGACTCTGCCTTTTGTGTGAGAGACACAGGTTCAATCCGGCCACTGTGACCCATCCACTAATGTGTCGGGTGGTGATGGCGCACAGATAAGATGCTTGCCTTTGGTGTGGGAGACTTGGATTCAATTCCCACTGTAAGACATCCTCAATGTGTCCCTGAGCAAGACACTTAACCCCTTGTTGCTCCAGAAACGTGCGACTGACATGTATAGCAATTGTAAGTCGCTTTGGATAAAAGCATCAGCTAAATGAATAAATGTAATGCAAGGTGAATATACACAGAATCTTTAACCTGAATATACTGAATCATCTTTGTTACTAACCAAATCAGTAGTTTATAGCAGTGGAGCTTATAGGGGTAAATCGAAGTCAATATCATTGTAAATGCACAGACTATGAGTCACAAATATATATTGCATATAATGTATTTTTATATACAAAAAAAATCCACAAACAAACTCTCCATGATCCACACATCGAAATCAGTGACTTGTACATGCAAAATGCAAAATGACTCGTCTTTGTAGTTCATATTTGTTTTCAGAATTTTGACACTACTGTTTCACTGTTTTACAAATTGCCGTTTCTACAAATGTACTCTCCACAATTTGTAAAAAACCCAGTCTAACTTGTAATTTCAAACCACTGTTTCAAGACATGTTTACCAATTCTGTGCAATACTCAACATTCAAGTGTCAAATCTGTGTTTGTGCATCCCACTGTATTTGTAGATGGGTTTGTCTATTGACTACAAACCATTTTGACACAGGGGTATTGCTTCTAAGTCCCCTCAATAAGCCTTTCAAAATAAGAGCTGAATCGCAGGCCGTGTACATCATCTACTCTACATGTAACCTGGAGGATTCAATTTGAATTCATGAGCGCGTTAACTTAAATGATGAATAATTATCCCCCTTTCATCGATTGGTTGGTGAAGTGTGCCTTTGTAATACAGTTTAATATTTATGTACCATGTATGCTGTGGTCTTTGTCTGCTCTTGCTAACCCATGCGCTCTGTGTTCTCCATCACCAGCCTCCGCATATACACTGGCAGCTGACCTGGGTATACCTTATGTGTTTTATGTGTGCTTTTTGCAATAGTAATGCAGCCTACTTTCTAACGATGCCCCATGAATTTTATTAGCGCTCCAAGTGTAGTGTGCATTTGTCCAGCACGTGGCACGTACTTTGTGCAATAAACCAAGGAGCCACCATTATCAAACTATGATGGGTAGGGGCGCCCGCACCTGTACAATACTGTCTTACTTATCAGAGCCCATGGCCCTCTGCTGTGACATTTCTCCTATCAAATGAAAGCAAAAGCACCCCAAAAATCTTTAATCCTGACACAAATTTTCCAGAGGGAAGCAAAAAAAACAAAAACAAACAGCCATTTTGGTAGGTCAACTAAGTGTATTTACTGAAATACTGTTCTTACAGTACAACATATCTGAGTATTTCTATTTTATACAACTTTATACTACTACTCCACAACATCTCAGAGACAAATAATGTACTTGTTACTCCACTACATTTGTCTGACAGCTTTAATTACCGTGGTGGCAGAAAATCTCTTCCTAGTTACTTTTCAGATTACAATGTTTCCTCCCCTTCCTGTCCAATGCCACCATGTATCTCACCATGTATGTGGTGATGTTGAATATTTGTGATGAAGTGTTCCTTTATGGGTTGAGAAAAGTCTCCTCCTTATTAAGCTTAATAAACAATGTAAGCCCACATTGGATCAGCTGTTTTAATTTTTTTTTCATGCCTTTATGGCTTTCTGACATTTCTATGAAGCCATAGGGGTTATTTACACTGGGAACGCTGGGGACATGCCAACACTACTTTTTGAAGTGGCTGATTTTGTCCCCATCAGTTTTTAAAAGCATATCTTTTTTTTAAATTCTGAAAAATCACTTGCACCAAGAAATGTTAACTAACAAATGAAAATGCTTTGAGAAAGGTTTATTTGCACAATAAGAAAACATTGAATGCTATCAAAGAATGGAAGAATTTAATAGCATTAAATTAATAGAATGTGCATTGTCCAAAAAAAGCAACTTAAGCTAAAAAAACAACCTTTCCCTGTGAACATGACAAATAGCCACATTACTAGCTGCCCACTGGGTAACGTGAACTGTCATTTCCAGTGGGCAGCTTGCAATTACAGTCAATTCAGCCTGACTTTAGCTGTATCCCCCCCCCACTCTCTCTGTCATATGCCATATCTAATCAGAGCTATAAATATTGTACTTGTTACTCCACTACATTTGTCTGACAGCTTTAATTACTGTGGTGGCAGAAAATCTCTTCCTAGTTACTTTTCAGATGACAATGTTTCATCCCCTTCCTGTCCAATGAAACCATGTATCTCCAGATGTGGTCATGTTGAATATTTTTGATGAACTCATAGATGAAGTGTTCCGTTATTGGTTGAGAAAAGTCTCCTCCTTATTAAGCTAAATAAACAATTTAAGCCCCAAACAAGCCTTTCATGCTCCTGTATTTACGGCTGTAACCTTTTAACCTCAAAGGCTGGAATTCCATTTATAACAACAGAGCCTCTCTTTAA